TGGACACGTTACAAGGCACGACAGCCTGTGCAAGACCATCATACAAGCCAGCATTGAAGGTGGACGTAGGCGAGGGCGCCAACCCAAAAGCTGGTTGGACGATGTTAAAAAATTAGGTGGATCCTACCACAACACTATCTATCTGTCTATCTATCTATCTATCTATCTATCTATCTATCTATCTATCTATCTATCTCAGACAGATTTGATCTACCTCTCTATCTACCTATTTATCTATTTGTACAACTGTACCAGAATTGCTGATGGTTGCCGTTAATAGACCATTGTAGAAAAGAGTTATTGTGGCTTCTGTATTCGGCTCCGCCCTACGATTACAAAAGATGATGATGATGATGATGATGATGAAGGCCGTCTTTACAAAGGTATATATCACATGCCAATCCACAGCCTAAGACATCTGTCAATAGGATATCTATTCATGTTCATTTATAATATTAGATTTTCTAACGTTGTATTGCAACGGCTCTGTGATCTTTACAATTGCTAAAATATTAGAGCTACGCGCCTGTAGTTGATCTTGCGTCAAGCACGGCAAATCTGCTAATATTGACATTCTCGATTTCTGAGTGTTACGTGTATTTCACGGCCGGTCGAGTGTTGGTTCAAGACTACCTCCTTATGCAAATTAATTGAAACAAAACGAATAATTTCGTTATTATTTACATTTTTTCATATTTTTTTTCAATGAAATACGACCCATTGCAGAAGTTAGTACTTTGTATGTTCATTTCATGAAGTCGTTCCTTGCAGATTGATCACAGATTCTCGGTTGGATTTAAATCAAGAGAGTTTTCGGGCCAGTCTATAGTACTTTGAATTGTTCACTGGTAAGGTTTAGCATTCTGCTCGTGCAGCGTTACAATTTTCGTACGCTTCCCTGTAGTAACGTCTATCGCAGATTATGGCCGTAGTACAACTAATCGATAGTCGAGGCAATAGTGTCAGGCCAGACGATTGCATATAGCATGAAACAGACAGTTGCCTCTAAGTGTTGACTTCTATGTTCACTTTATATTATATTATATTATATATAAATATAGAGAGATATATAGAATATAAAAGTTAGAACACATGCCATATGCAATCGTCAGCCACCTGCATATAGCATGAAACAGACTGTCGCCTCTAATGTTGACTTCTATGTTCACTTTTATATTTAGACACATTTCTATCTCTGATATTGAGCACTTTATCCCATAAAATATAGCACACCAATTTAAGACTATATTTATATATATATATATATATATATATATATAATATTAAATATATTAAGATTAAAAGATTAATTTTATATAAATAAGGAAAAAGCGCATTCATCATTGCATTAAGAGAGGTGAGATCAGCGTAACATCGACCTCATCGTGTGTGTGTGCGTGTATATATATATATATATATATATATATATATATATGTGTGTGTGTTGTGTGTGTTTTGTTAAAAATTGTTGCTTAATGACAGTTATGGTTCAATTTTTTAATACTGTACCCTCTATGGTACCCAGACTTTAGGAATTTAATCGCAGTACTGGATTGGCGGCAAGGTCTCATCAATTTCCAGTTGGAATGGCTAGATGTAAATTCTATGTTAACAGTTTCTTTTCACGCAATTCTTGTTTAACTCTCTTACATTTTTGTTTCCAACTGAACTTTGATCTTCAAAAATGGAAATGCAATCTCAATCGTTATCTTGTGTTTTCTAAATTTCTGTTTTTATTGTACTTTCTTCTTAATAGACTTTCATTTACTCATATTCTCTCTCACACACACACTCGTTTTTGTATCTTTATTTCCTTGCCTGGGGTGAAATGATAAAAAATGTCTGGTTAAAATCATTGAGAAGACACATCCTTGTCTTACCACCATTTTTTTTTATTTTTGTGTATTCACTGAATTCATTTATGTATTCAGCCTCTTTGTCTACCAGTATAAGTTCTGGATTATTCTAATATATTTACCAAACATATGGTTTTACGATTCTGAATTGAATATAGTTTCCTTCAATAGTGTCAGATGCTTAGATTAAAGATCGAAACCGACGTCATAATTGCACGGCCAAAGAAGGTCAGAAATCTAATCGGCTTAAACGGAATCATATGAACAATGAACACAGGCTTTTGTCTTGATACTAGGTTTATATGAAACTATTATAGTTATCAAACCCGCCAAAACCTCTTGGTTTACCAGTTTTAATTTTTTGATAAATCATAATTCCTAAGTTAATGACCCTATAAAATATAGATGGAAATTCTAATATTGTCTTGTTAAATATTTGAGATTAACTACTTAGCGTGATGAGGAAGTCAGAACATTAATCATTGCATTGCCTTTTTGTTTGACTCATAATTCATAGCAATAAAATACGTAATTATTTTACGAACATTTAATATTTTCCTTACATATATATATATATATATATATATATATATATATATATATATATATATATATATAAAAAAATATTCAGTAATGGATATGAGTCTGTGATCCTGGGTTTCATGTTTTGAGATCATCAGAGTAACTGGTTATTTTTAAAAATATTTATGCTTGTTTGACAATGTTTGATGGTGGTTGGGGAATTCTCTGATTATCTTAAGAAAAAAAAAAATATATATT